ATACACTCATTTCCACTTCTTTTATTCCTTCCCTTCTTTACTCTCCATGTCATCTTCTCACCTTTCAGTTTCTTTGACTAAATTCCTTCCCCATTCTCAGTTTCTCCTTAACTCACCTCACACTTAAGTCAGACTCTCTGTCTAATAATCTATTCATCTTTGTGCTGGAATGGAAGTCTGATGCTTTCCATCTGTGTATGTCAGTGGTGGAGCTCCAAGCCTGTCACTCTTTATTCACTCCCCCATTCTCCACTTCAACTTTTTACCAGCAGAACCCCAAATCTGGTTCCACTCAGCCCTAAAGTTTAAGATCTGTCTCCACAGTGGAGCCCCTTTGGCCAAAGGCAGCAGGGTGAGGTCGGCCAGGCCACTGGATCTCTGTGCTCTGGATCCTGAAGATTCTGGGTCACAATGAAATCAACGAATGAGACACAGAATTGGAAACTTGTTGTCACAATGTGGCATGTTACAATACACCTCTCTTTTTCTTTTCTATTCCTCCTCCCATCTTTCTCTTCCAGTCTTGCTCCTCTTCCTCTCCTCCCCCTCTTCCTCTGCTCCCGCATCCTTCTTTTTTCATCCCCTCCCTCTCTCTTGATATCTTTTTTTAGGTCTGTCTGTACTTGCATGCAGCACACACATACACACAAATTCACACATATTCACACACAAACACATGAAATAGCATTACTGGTCCTGACTGGCTGCAAACACATACATACTGTATGTATATATAACTCTACTGGCTTTCCACACGCAGCCTTCATACACAGTCGCACTGGGTCGTATGTTGTTGTTGTTTCTGCCGTTGCTGTATTTTATGTGTGTCTCACATACACACATGTGAATGCACCGCACAAAGCTACAGGCCCAGTTTTGAATACAGCCAGAAATAGCTTTGGGTTCGACTTGGAATTGGCTTAAGTCTTCAAAGAGAAATTTTTGATGCAGTAAAGGGAGTGAGAGAGTGAGATGGAGGGAGAGGGGTGAGAGAGGGGAGTGCTGGGGGTGAACAGAGCAGATCTGGTTGTTATATCCAGCTGTAAAAAGGGGGCAAAAACTTCAAAGACTCACGTTGCCATGGTAACTGTAGGGTGCCTGCTTTAAACCCCTATGCAAAACCTGCCCAGACACATATACATATAGCAAATGTATTCATAAAAATTGATGGCTGCAGTAGTATGATGCAGACCAACATTTATATTTTTCCCATCTCCATCCCTCACCTTTCTTTTATGGATATTGTTGTTCTCCATATCCAGCAGAGATCATATCGATGTGTGTAGTGATGGGTACCGCTGAAGCTAATTAAAACCCAATAAGGTTTGCTGCAAATCCTTTAGTTTTTCTGTGTGAAATCACTGGTTTAGTCTTATCTGGCAGGACTAGAGCTGCTTCTTCATATTTTTCTCTATTGATGTCTGAGGCTTATTCCCTGTAATTGTCACATGCTCTCACTTCATAGCCAGTGGATTTAAATCCCAGCTGTAATCAGATCTCCCAGTTCACGTGTGTGTGTGTGTGTGTGCAGATTAAGTTTTTCAGTTTTAATGGTTCAAAAAATAAATTATTTTTCATATAAAACAAAAGTTAGATTGCTTAGCAATGAAAGTAATGTTCCAAACCCACCACTGTGTTTAAGCCTCTGCATAGTGATAGTTGTGGCCAGTGGCATTATGTTTTTGGGTCATCCATCCGCCCGTCCATTTGTCCATACAACTCATTCTTGTGAATGCGATATCTCAGGAATACTGTGGAGGAATTTCTTCAAATTTTCTCACTTGGACTTAATGTTGAACTGATTAGATTTTGGTGGTCAAAGGTCAAGGCCATGAATTTGACGAGTTGGCGGAGGCATACAACTGCAAAGCCAAATGGCAATAAAAAAAATTGTGTGATAATTCACATAAGAGAACTCATGAATGACAAAAAGGCAGCTGTTACACAGCTACATGTAGCCTGCAAATTAATGGGTATGGGTTTCTCTCTATGTGCATCTGTTTGTAGGGGAGTGTCGGTGACTTCTACCTTGTTGTTTCCATGTGTCATTTCTTACCTGTGTACCTTACCTCCTATGTTATGTAAGATCCTTGTTTTGCCAGGAAGAATGTTGCTGTGAAAGTAAACAAGCTTCCATGTGTCACTATCAGGCCCAGTGTTTGCTTATTATTGCAGCAGGAAATTGTCGTGCTCAGTCAGTTGCATTTGGCTTTGGCTTTATTTACACAGCATGAGAAAATCCAGCTGTAGCATTGTCTACTTTCCAACACAAAGATGCCAAACAGAACCGTATTTATATATCACAAACTGTGAAACCTCACAGAATCTGGCTTCAAATCTAGTCTCCTCTTCCCAGAGGTAGCAATTAATATTAGATCCTGAGCCAAATAATTCTTTTTTACATGTCAAAAGAAATCTGTCACAGTCTTTGAAGCCTAATGTAAACAGGATCTGTATAAAGATCTCAGTACAGACCTCATTTAATTTCATTTAATCATGCAAATCGTGAATCCTAGCCTCACTTTCCCATCTTCTCATGGTCATTTTCCCAAACCAGGTGGCTCTGTTGGTCTATTCTGTAATTAAAATAATGCAATAGGGTAGCCCTGTAAAACAAATCCTTCTGTCTCTGTTAATGAAGATCTCTAACCGCCTTCTTTTGTAATGAAATGTTTGTCTGAATGCACCAGCAGCATTCTCTCCACAGGGATATGCCAGTTAGGATTAATATTTGACTGAGCTGCAGTCTGAAAATGATCCAAGAGATAAAGTGAGAAAAACTATGAGAGCAAGTCAGGCTGGTGTTATGACTGTTAGTTTATGACATAAACCAACAGCGGTGGTAGCTCAAATATTGTACCACATTTTACTGTTTTACAAGCCAAAAGTCTCTGCAGTGAAGGGCTAATTTTATGACATTCATCATACGTGGTGATGCTTTTTTAGAAATCAGGCACAACTTCTTAATAAGGTGTAGACTTAATATAATGACACTGCAATGAACGTGGTTTTTAATATCTTCAGCTAATTTTCCATCAATAATGTGCATCTAATTACAGCTGATATTTCATTCTTGTATTTATTTGAAGGATCATGCCTTTGTCACTTTGGCACCAACAACTCCTAATTGGTCCGGGCACAGATGGCACAGCAGCAATGGTTGGCGCTGTCGCCTCACAGCACAGAGGATCTGGGTTCCAGGTATAAAAAAAAAAGTGACATCAAATCTATCTGTGACCCTTTTTGCTGAGCATGAACACATGCATACACGCATACGCACATGTGTGCACTTACAACAGGTGTGCAGCAGAGAGAGTTGAGTATATTTTCAAAATCTTCCAAACTCACAAACATTTCTTTCACCAACACCAAAGCTTTGATGAGGTCTGTGGCTGTGAGGTGAGTAAAAATGTTGAGGTATTTAAATTCTACTTTGAGTTATTTTGGTCTGCTTCAAATTATGTTCATTTATACTTTCTTTCTAATATTTGCACAAGAGTCTTTATATATTTTCTTTAGTGCAAAAATTGCAAGCAACTCAGGAAGAAAGCCACCTATAAAAACATTCACCAGTCCCACCCTTATAAATAAAGACTGGGTTTTAACACAATTTGCAAATAAGCACCACTTTCCCTGTTGAGAGAGCTGAAGGTGAAACAACACAATCCAAATGTTACTTTTTCCTGGGGAACAGATACTGTATGTGGGGCACACACTACATCGAAACACTCAACAAACATCCTTCTGTTTGTAAGTGTCTGAAAGCATGTGACAGCCATGTAAACATCTGATGGAGACCGCAGCCAAAGACAGATGACCCATTCAGGAACGTAGTGAAGTCCAGAGTCAGGGACTCTCTTTCCTGCTGCACACTACAGTCTGCAAAGCTGTTTTTCTATTCCATCAATTACACTTAATTTTTTACAAGCAGAGCAGTCCATTAGTATCGAAAGGAAAGGGTTCAGTATCAGAAACAGCAGTATAGCCTGAAAAATCACCACTACTAGCCACAATACCCATATTTTTCTTTCTTAAAAATATACTTTCAGGTTAGAATATTCAATAAAATGTCTTACTGTTCCACTGCAAGAGCCCAAATCAAGCTTCACTGCAACTGATGTGACAGTGAGAGGTTTTTGGACTTGATTTTTTCCATCTCTAAATACCACACACCAAAAATATTTTTTAGCTGGCACTTCAGTTAAAAGACAGTGACGATACTTTGAAATGATCTTGGGGAGCAGGCTGCTGTAGCCTCACTGTGATCAAAACCATGACTACACATGGCTGACTGACTGCCTCCAGCTCAAGATGTATATTTCTATATATGTTGACTCTCCAGCAGGTGACACATCATGAAGAAATAGAAAATAATCATCACACAGCCTGGTGAAGGTAAACAGCTGCTTGTAAGTGTCTCTGATTGGTTATGTGATAAACATTTCAAGAGTTTTTTGACAATTTGATATGTGCTTATCAATTAAAGACTGGGAATACTCTCCTCTCAATTCTGTGTGAATGGCAGATAAAGTGAGACATGCAAGGCCGTCTGGGGCCTCATTACACGAGCAGCAGAGCTGATCAGAAGACCATCTGTCTTTGTGTCTTTGCAGCTTAAGATTATCTCACTATGTTATGGATAGATCTGGCACAAAACTGTTACTTATGACACAAATATAAAATATGTCTGGACAATGAGTTGCACTGTGACAGTAAGTTTTAAAAGCTGCTCACTGACCTATTATACATACGTTTCATTTTATGAGGAGACATGGAGACGTAACTGAAGCAATGTCATATTTTGTAATTGATTTGTGATCAAGTGCCAATAAACAATCTCACCCCTCCACAAACTTGGTCATTTGGTCGTCTGACTTGCAGAAACTTACAGTTGCTAATCAAATTAGCATTTTTGAAATATATTTAATCTGACAGTCATACAAGCATCAGTACTTTACCAGGCAACCCTGAATTAACATGATGTGGCTACAGCAGGCCCAGTGTGTGTAAGGCATGTCCCCCAAGTGACTACCAACCCACAACTGTCCATATATGTTACACAACTTGTAAACTCTTTGTAAAATAAGAATAAATTGAGTATAAGCTTAATTTCCCCTCATGAAACAGACATTTTGTGCCAGAATGCAACATTACTTCACCAGACAATCTCCAAAATGTTCCAAGAAGCAGTAGCATGACTGGGAAAAGGCCATTTGTGCAGCTGCAAATCAAAGAAACCCAAGGAGAGAGAGACAGAGCTCCCTGATTAGAGGTCAGCTGTTGGATTGGTTGGAGTGCTGTTATACTTCAAAGCCTCACATCATCTTGCCTCTGCAAGTCTTTTTAGCAAATGAGCTCCCTATAATAGTTTATTTTTTATTTTGCAGTCCTCTAACAAAATATGGAGTTCCTACACAAACCTCTGCTTTTTCTCAAGCTGCTCTGCCAAAGAAGGAGTGAAGCTGTGATGAAAACAAGAGCTGAATTCTTCCAGGAGTGGAGTCTCAGCTGGCTACTCCACCCAGTACTGCTTCCATTCACATCCATCCCAATGGTCGGTAGTTTGTTTTAGCATAATTAGACCCACAGGACAAATCACAGACCTTTGCAGAGTAGTGATAGCACAATTACATAGCCTTTTAGAAACTTTCCATCTCTGCTCAGATTTTCTATGGCAATTGGGTGGTAGGTTTGGGAGGACTGATAATTTCTTGACATTTCTGAAATCCTTGCTACGGCCCTGCTGGCTGCTTATGGATCATATTGCCTATAGGAAAGTTGGTTATGAAAATTAAAATTAAAATTAAAACTCCCCTTGCTTTTGTTGGGTATTTTTTCCTCTCTGCGATACTTGAGGGTTAATCCATTTTTTTTACGATGGAACTTTTCCCAGCAGCAATTGAAAGCACCGTGAAACCCTGATCCACTGGCTTGGAGATCCAGGCGCCGGGACTCTGGCTTTTCCACGCCTCCCTCTCCCCCCGTGGTGAATCTCCGGCTCACACACTTTGCCAGACTTCCAGGAGTTGGAGCGACAGATCGAAGACGGAGCACCGACATCGTTGAATAAGGAGAAAACCCCAGTTTTCTTGTTCACGTGGATATGTTTTCTTGTCTTGGGGGATTCCAAGAAGGCGCGATGGTTTGCGCAGCTGGAAATGTTGGACAGTCGTACCGCAGAGAAAGGGTACACGTACACTACACTGCAAAGTTGTAAAAGTAGTTTCCCTTGAAGTGTTTTTCCCGTCACCCGTTAAGACTCCGTGCTTCTCCAGCCTGTAGACCCTCTGCCATCATGGCGAGGCGGACAGGGGAGACATCCGTGGTTTTGACGCCGAGTACGCGCGCTGCCTTCTGGAATAAACACATCCAGTTCCACATGGGCTTCTGGGCTTTTTCCTGGAGCTTCGTCTTAATCTCTTCAGCTCTTTCTTGCGGATATTGCGGAGCTGAGACGGAGTTTTCCATCCTGGAAGAAGCGCAGGTTCTGGCCGATCAAATGAAAAAACTGTCCTCTCAGGAGCTGGGAGTCTTTACTATGCAGGTAAAAGTGAGACGGCTTTTAAAAACTGCATTTAAACGCGTCTTGCGTTGTGTGAAATGTGTGCCTTCTCGCTGCAGCTGGTTTAAAGACCCTAATCCGGCACAAACAGGATCGCCAAAATAGGCCTGCACCCCAAAATAGTGTAATAATCCCAGAAAGAAACTTTGTTGCTGTTACACGGAACAATAAGCCCCTTGGTTGCCAGTGTTGCAGCGCAACAACAGGCGCTTTGAAGTTTATCTGGGACATCAACACGCGGGAGGGTTGGTGTCCACCTTTATTGTCCCCCAGTCTGTCTCTACAGAAGGTGTTTGTTATTAGTGTGTCTGCTGAAAAGGTGGATAGTCTGTCACCTCAGGTAGCATCAAGGCCAGTCAGCCGTGAAGCAGCGTCTTATTGTATTTTCTTGGAAAAGGGTTGTTCCTCCTCCTCCTCCTCCAAAAACATAAGCACACATTACAACCGTATCAGCTTGATACGGTTGTAATGTGTGCTTATGTTTTTGAAAGATGGACATGCCATTGTGCACGATATTGTCCACAGCTTGTTGTGTGTCTGGCTGTCTGCGAAAATGTAGGTCTCCTCAACATCAGAGAATAAATAGGCAAACAGCTTCTGGACACAAGAAGAACTGATAGTGTCAGATTTAGTCAGTATTGCCATGCAAATAGAAAGCATGGTCTCCATCAGCTGGATCACAGTTGACTGACAACTAATGTTTGTTTTCATTGTGTATCTGTCTTGTAATGATCTATAGATTTATTGTTCAATCATTTAGTTATCAAATATCAGAAAATAGAGAAAAGTGCCCGGGGCATGTCACCTGAGATCAAGGTGACACTTAGATTCCTTTTCATGTACAACCAATAGCTCAAAAACCAAATATACAATAGGTGACTGTGCAAATTCTTAAATGTGACGAGCATCAGCCAGTGATTGTCAACAGTGTACCCTGTGACTGTGTATACTCCCTTTACCATCAGAGAATCCTGTTGATGAGGAGCAGTGGTTAATGTCAACTTGGGCTCTGGGCAATTGTGAACATTTCTCTCTCTGTGGTTCTGACATTTTCTAGACCATGAGGGAAAAGAACAGTTAGTCGCTGATTGTTGTTGAGCAAATTGTGAAAACGCAGCAAAAACACTATTTTGCCGTGTCCACCCACGCGGAGCTGCGTTGAGCCACCAAATGGCAGGAGGTGCAGGGTGCAGTGCTGACTGCCGCTGGGTGTGAAGGGGGATGTTTAGCACTTCAGAGGCCGGGGAGCTCTGAACACAGAGGCGAAGCAGCAGGGGGCCCCCGGCCCCAAATGGTGTTTCATCTTCTCTGTTTCCAGACTGAGCGGCCTTCATCCCGGCTCTGGGAGTCGGCTTTGAGGGCTTCCTCTGATCCCCTCGGATCTGCTTTTGTCACTGCTCATCCCTCTCTGAGCTCCGGTTTGAGCTCAGCCTTATTCCTGCTCTTCCCGTTTTTTTCTCTGCTTGTTTTGTTCCTTATCATTCTTGTTTTCCACTCTTGCAGCTAAATGACTTGCCTCTCTTTACATCTCATTCTTTTTCTTTCTGTCTCTGCCTGTTTTTCTCTCATCAGGGTCAAATTGTTCCATCAACTTCAATAATTAATGCAAAATGTTTGTGGGTATTATCACTGTTTGTATTTCATGACTTATTTCAAATTTCTGTATCCTGCCAACGAAAATGCCTCCAGCATCACTGTTGGAAAACAGTTGTGAGGTGATCATGTTGTTGTACAAACTGTGAAAATCTGACTTGGCATGAAGCTAATGCGAGTTTGATTGAAGTGGTACATTTCATGCAGTCGTGACGGTGGTCTTCCACAAGTGTGAGAGATGTGTGTCCAGTAAAATTAGTTTGCATCTGTCCATGAAAACAACTGCAGGACTCTGTCAGCCATGCTGCTTGTGTGGACACCTGCTCTGGCGCTCAGATGTGGCCTGAATCATCGTCTGCAGGTGTGTCCGTTGAACTGGATTTCACTTTATTTTTCTCCCTCGTTGGCGTTTTACCATTTTCTGTGTTTAGTCATTCCAAAGAGTATCATTCAAAATCCAATTTCTGGAGTCACAGCTGCCACTCATTATCTGTAAGATGATTCTTTTCCCATGTTTTCTTTTTGGGCACAGAGAAGCCAACGTGCAGAGCTCATGCTGTTCTATTTGGGACTGTGTCTGAAGGTTTTGTTATCAAGCGACCATCCCACCATCTCCATTTAAAGTGAAACTCTACCCCTCTCCACCCCACCCCTCATTCTCTGGCAGTATGCGTAATCTAAGGCTTGCCTTGCCAGTGCTTCTGAGTCACTGGGTCAACCTTGTTCAACCTGGCATTGAGTTACCCAGTTATCAGGGGACATGAAGGTGTATAGTTGATGCCCTGTTTAAGTTGATTGGTCTGTTTCTCTAGTGAAACTTCTTCCGGTTTATGTTGTAACATCTCTTTTTCTTAAATGTAAAAATGTGCTGCACTTGCTTTCAGTCTGATTACTGATTAACGGGACAGTGACGTAATAACAACCTTTTACAGGGGCGGCTGTGGCTCAGAAGGTAGAGTGGGTTGTCTCATAACCACGTGATTAGGGGTTCGATTCCCGGCTTGTCCAGTCCACATGTTGAAGTGTCCTTGAGCGTGACACTGAACCTCCCATTGCTCGCGGTGATGACACCGGTGAATGACCAAATAATGTGAAAGCGCTTTGAGTGCGCTGCAATGCATAGAAAGCGCTCTACAAATGTCAGAGCAGGTTGGTAAGTCAACATAAAACGAAACAGCAACCATTCTGATATTTGCATGGAGTCGTTTTAGAGCAAAGAAACCAAACATTTGCTGGTTCCAGCATCTGTGTCATATGGTGGTAACCTTAATATCTTTTACCTGTTTATTGAGAAAAGTAATTAGTAGATTATTTGATCATAAAGATATTTTATTAATTGCAGCCTGTTTTCAGGTGATTACTATATAATTGACTTCTCATATTTCCTTTGTATTTATTGAAAACCGTTGTGGCGTAGCTGCTGCTCACGCCTTCTCTTTGTTGTTGCCTTGATTCGTTGCAGCCTGGCTTTGTCTCTGGAACCTTGCACGTTCTCAGTGTATAAATCAAAGTGAAGAGTAATCTTCCACTTTAGGAAATGATGTTAAATATCTGTGAATGATTAACGGTGTATATTTCTGCCGTGCCACTCTCAGTGGTATGGCACCATTTAATGGGCACTTCATGTCAGATTTTCTGCAGGTTAAGGCCGACGGCTTTACGTGGTAATTTAGAAATAATTGGATCTAAATATGTCGCTGGCCTTTCCCTTGCCGTGTTGTTAAAGCACAGACCCAGTGCTGCTCTTGTCATGTGGAGGCCTGGGGCCAGGACCAGTGTACAGGTTCCCACCTTCAGCTGTAGCAGTACAGGACTGAGAGCTATTGGAAACCCTAAGGTTTAACATAAAGGCATGCCAAGTCAACAACTGATCAGTCATTAGTGTTGGAAAAGTCCAGATCACTGAGGCTTTTTCCAAGAAAGTATTTATGCCCTAGTGGTTGATAATTCACAACATAAATGTTGCTGTATTAGTTTTAAGAGCCTTAATTCACAGAGGAACATGGTTTGTTATTGAGGCTGCCTTGTCCACCAGCCCTGGCCCCTTAATTGTATATTGATAGTAATTTTGAGGGCAATTGAGGTTTGTGCAGTAAAATATTGGGGGACTGTCAGTAGGCTGTGATGTTCTGGTTTGGGTTTGGTCCAAAGGCTGCAGAGCTCACAGTCCTGATTTGCTATATTCTTTCTCTTGTATATTGCATTTACAAATGCTTCTCTCTTTGTTCCACCTGCCTTTATTTTAATCTTCTTATTCCTTTTTCTCCACTTCCCCTTTTATCTGTGTCAGGGCTGTGTTTTTTCTGTTTTCCTTACTTTATATTGAAGCTGTTGCACAGACAGGGAGGAGGAGGGTTTGAGGCTGTACAGCGGGACATCAGAATTCCTGTTAGGTTCTCTGCAGTACAGCTTCAAAGGCTTCTCCCCTCTTACTGCGTTGGCTGTGTGTCTGTCTGCTCGAAGACTCAAGGTTGCCGTGAGCCTCACAGGCCCTCTGCTACACGTGGACGTATTGCCATCTCTCATATACTTTCTCCTATTTGACTTTGAGTCTGCATTTCTCTCTGTTAAGCTAAATGTATGTATGAACCACTGTACATCTGATTTGAAATACTCTATCACTCCATGGAAGTTGATTAAATAGAAGGTCACATTGTAAATAGTCCAGACTCTATGACAGGATAGACATGTATTACGTTTATTTATCTAACAGTCATCCAAAGGGCAAAAGTACACTTCAGTGTCAGATATATCTCTAAGCACATTCCTGCACAGAGGTTACATAATACAGCCAGCATTTCCCTGACAGTTAGTGCCCCAAGTGACAGAATATGCAAACTTACCAGTGGTAAAAGACGGATCGCTTCCTTTACAAATTTTTATATTCACTGTCTAAACTCTTGGTTTATCACGACTTCATTCAAGACCCTGATGTGTACCTGCACTCATTTGTGTCTAAATGTATAGAAGTAATTGTAGAAAAAGAGAGACGTTCAACCCCTGCTTACTCTGACACCTCCACACACCTGAGCACTTTCTATAGAAAGTGCATGTGTTCACTGGATGGACTCTCTCTGGCTCTAGACCATTTGCTAGGCCTGTCTTCCAACAGTTGCAGTCCCACAGCGATGTCTGCACTAGTTTAAAACTTGGAACGACTTTCATATCAGTCTTAAAAATTCCTGGCTTGTCCAGAGTCCGGGAAAAAGGCCCAGTTCTAGCGGCTATTACCTTTATCTTTGCATCACAGTGCAGGGGAGAGCGGAGCAAAGGGCCATGTTTTTATTAAACCTAGGGCTGCTTGTGTGCTTTGGTCTGCGTCCAAGCAGTGAGAGGCTCAGGCTGCCTTTATATCCCACTGCCTCACATTGTCTCCAACCTCCAAACCG